TGAAGTTGGATGCTTAACTGACTGAGCCACCCAGGCGCCCCTGCTCTCTCTTCTTCTTAGATACAAAGAAGACTCAAGTTCTCTCTCCCTGTTGTTCCATATGCAACCTCAGAGTTTAGGTAAGTATCACATATGCTGTGGTTACCAGCAAAGAATCAGGAAGGACCTTGACTTCTGGTACTTTATAAATCTGGCTGAATCACTTTTATTGATGTGTTTCTATTCACCTTGTACTTTCTGTATTGAGTACCTCATATCGACTATTTACCATATCCGTATGCATGGAGAGATGCTCTGCAAATTCAGTAAAACTCACTTGATGCTAGGGAGAAGGGCAGCAGCTGGAGGAGGAGGAGAAAGCCGGGGAGGAACATCATATTCTTCACTTCCCAGGTGACCATTGGAAAAGACCTGAAAGGAAATCCAAGGGTTCATTTAGAATTTAACTTCTGGAGGACCTTAAAACAGTAGAAGCTCTTAGAAAACCTATAATTTTGAAAAGAATATGTAATTTCTGTTTATTTAAACAAGCGCAATATCATATAATTTACTTAGGAGTCAGTTGCACCATAGTGATTATTCACCACCACCACCCAAAGGAACACCAAGTTATATGTAAAAAGTATAATACAACACGATTCTTAAACACATTGAGAAGGAATGCGTACTATAATTTCTATAAAACAGATACACACAGCTTGATACACAGATGGTGAAATTCCCCAAATAACCATCAGTTTTTATTGAAAAGTTACCATTCTCCATAGGATTCAGGGAAGAAAAAGCAGTACCAGTGCAATTCTTATTTCAATTCTCCCAAATAAAAGTGTTCTAAATTATATCTCTCTGGGGTTAACAGAACATTTTTAAACTTCTTGATAAAACCTTACAGAAATGCCTTTCATCTTTCAAGGCTGAAGCATCAACACTATTGGGAAGTAGAGCCCGCCTGCTCTTTCAGAGCACGTGCAATTTTAACCAGAATTTTCAGTGTGAACACCACCAACTAAAACGGTTACCTTGCTCATAAGGTACCGGCAGAGAACCAGTGTTTTGTTACTCAGAATCAGAAATTCTGATTCCCAGGTTTCTCAGTTACACTACAGGGACTGAGCAACCGCGCTTGTGACTAATCCAAGAATTTGAAATAAAGCAATTAAAAAAAGAGAAAATAACTTCATATAGACATATTCACACACATACAAAAAAGATTAAACCTATTTTGAAATCTTTAAGTAATTATTAGTGTTTTATCATGGGGCGCTCACCTCAACTCTTACGAATTCATATTTAAAAGATAGGCTTAAGTTGGAGCAAAAGGCTATAATGTAACCTGAATAGCCCTAAAGCCCCATCAATGACCTACCAATTTCTTTTCCTCCCCCCGCATTTCTAAAATGCTGCTGAAGCTTTAGAATGCAAAATTGAAAAGCCCATACCTTCTCTATCAACTTAAAACAAGAAACATGGTTTAAAGAATACATTTGAAATACATCAATATTTGCATTTCAAAGTTGCACAGTCTAAACCTTATGGCATTGAAGTTTCACTCTAAAAACTAGGACCTGTGCTAGAGTTCCAATGTCTCCTTTGCGCGGCTCCCTCATTCGATGCGCTCTTACAGTTACACTATGATAAAACAGATCCTAAACACGGTTTCATTCTGAATTCCATGTTCCCACCTGTACCCACTTCACTAGACTTAATCATTTTAGCTGCCGCTACCTGAGGGAGTGCAATAAATTACAAGTTGGGCTAAAAATAAATATTTTATGTTCTCTGGAGATTTGAAAAGCCTGTTTAAAAATAGGAGAAAACAATAATTCCTCAAATGTGCGGAAGGATAGCCATCGACTGAAGCAGTTCGCACTGAAACCCCACAGATTCAGGCCTTCTTTATTCAACTGAGGAAACAACTTTTTCCTCTGTCCCAAATCTACCGCAATTCCACTGAAATTACTACCAACTTAAATATTCTGATACTATTACTCCTCTGCCAAAAAAATAGAAAAACAAACAAAAACAACAAAAAAACCTGTAAGACCTCTTTCCTAACAAATTAAAGATAACATAGTATAGAATTCAAGACTCCATATTATTGGTTAGAATCTACACTGCCATAATTTCACCTATCCTGCCTATTCTCTCTCTCTCTATTCTATCCATTGAAAATGGACTTCCTTCGCTATGCATATTTTCTCTAACCTCATGCGGTTCCTTCCTGTCGTGTCTATAAAAACACCTACTAATCTTTTCATGTCTATAGCCAGTGACCTTCTTGTGTGCAGCTTTCTTTATTTGTTCTTTTACACTGCATCTCAATTTGATTTTTTTTTCTTCTTGAGGATCCCATATTGTATTTTCTGAACGCTTCTCTTACGCCTTATCTTTTAGTTAATCATACACCTGTCTCATTCTCACCACACTACACTGTGCTTTATTCATTTTGTATTTCCCATGCTGTCTTGAACATCCTAAGTACTCTTACAGCTAAAGGAGGTTGAAGAATGAGGAGACATTAAGGTAAGTTTGGGCTTATGGAAGAAGTTTCATCTGAGTTATCACACAACTTACTATAAATTCTAGGTTATCCTAGATTAATATTTTTCTATATGCCTCAAGACAGCATTTGTTACTAATCTTGGAAGTTTGAAATGTCTTATGATTCAACTATTGTCTAAATATTAAGCTTAAGGTGTTTGGGATCCTTGAGATTCAGGGAACACATTTGTGATAATCGTAGCACAATTAAGACAAACCTTTTTATCTGTACAAAACCCCAAACCCAACCCCTTTTCCCTATCCCACACATGTAAACCCACACAAAATCTACCCCAAAAATATCACTATAGTTTGTCCTTCTACACCATCAGATTGGCAATGAAGCCAGTGAACATAGAGGACTTATTTCTTGATAGACAGCCCTTGAGATTTAGAGATAAGTTTGAGGTCATTCACATAAACATGTGCCTCTCCACCAAAAGAGCAAAAGCCACAATCTCAAAAAAAGGGGAATCTTTCGATGCATTTATCTAGCAGCATCTTCAAAAGATTATTGTACACAGGGTCATTTTAGAATAATGTCACTTGAAGTAACGTAACAAGTCAGAGATAGTTTTTATCACATTAGAAACAGCAGTATTCTTAACCTTTCGAGAGAAACCAATAAAGACAGCTTAACACAACGTTAGCATCTAGATCTAAGTAGATAAATCTCAAGTTTCCAATGATGTTTTAAAGCATTTTAATGCAGGGGTGCCTGGGTGGCGCAGTCGGTTAAGCGTCCGACTTCAGCCAGGTCACGATCTCACTGTCCGTGAGTTCGAGCCCCGCGTCAGGCTCTGGGCTGATGGCTCGGAGCCTGGAGCCTGTTTCCGATTCTGTGTCTCCCTCTCTCTCTGCCCCTCCCCCGTTCATGCTCTGTCTCTGTCTGTCCCATAAATAAATAAAAACGTTGAAAAAAAATAAAGCATTTTAATGCAAATATTTTCACCTCAGCTAATTAAAACAAACCAACAACAGTAAGTATCTAGCCAACAAAATACTTATTAAGGGACAGGTGTCCTATTAAGGGACAGGTTTCTAGAACGCAAGAATTTCAGAGAAAGGAAACCGTACTATAGGAAAGAAATCTCTTACCAATAATACAAGATAAATAAACCTAGTAATTCTTAGCTTGCAGATTCATGTTAAAAGTAAAGGATTACTTCAGCTAATCTGATAACGAAAGGTAGGGGTGGGGGGATAGGGAGTCGATGAAAGTCACAGGGAATTCTTACACTTCATTTTAACGATGAGCTGGACAGCTCTTTCCCTAACAGCTCTGTACAAGTAGGAAATGCAGGAGAATTTATTCTTGCTGTCCTTACCATTTGCCAAGCAAAGATGCAAATCAAAAGGGCAAATGCCTCTAGTGGATGATGGGAAGTGGCACAGGGACAGAGGGCACATGATGAAGGAGAGCGAGGTGTCACTTCATGTACAGGGTGTCCATTTTATGAATTCCCTTATGGTAGGTATTCCACAGGTACACTTAATTCTAATGTAAACATTTGGTGCTTATTTGGGTTTCTTATCTTTAAAATGGGAAGATGATGTTTAATTTGAAGTATTACCTCTAATGAAAATAAGTCTAAAGGATAGTTGCTCCTATTTCAAACAAGAATGCATTTGCTTACAATTAATTGGGGAGACTGATGGGTTATGTGAAGGTACATCAACTTCCAGATATCTAGATCCCCATGCCCTTTATTCCCATGATAAAATGTTCTAAAAACTGCATACTAGGTAATAGGTATGGAGGGTGAAGATACATTGTAACATTTACCATTCTCATTAAAAACAGGAGGAAAAGAAATCCTATTTTAAACAAGATTATATTCTACCTTTGGCAGAAGGCCAGTGCTGGAAAAATACATTAAAAACTGTTTTTCTTAAAAAAAAAAAAAAAAAAAAGGTGGAGGGCACCTGGGTGACTCAGTCAGTTGCCCAACTGGCTCAGGTCACATCTCAGCAGGTTCATGGGATCGGTGCCCCATCAGGCTCTGTGCTGACAGCTCAGAGCCTGGAGCCTGCTTCGGATTCTGTGTCTCCCTCTCTCTCTGACCTTTCCCTGCTTTCTCTCTCTCTCTCTCTCTCTCTCTCTCTGTCTCTCTCTCTCTCTCTCTCTATCAAAAATAAATTACATGAAAACAAATTAAAAAAAACACCAACAAAACAACTGTTTTTCTTCCTTGTATGTCACGGGTGTGCTCTTCCTCCAAGCCCTCTCCTGCCCTGCCCTCACCCACACAAACCCAGCACACATACACTCTCTTGCTTCTATCATAAGCTTCAGTACTGTACTAACTTAACAATCAAGTGCTTACCAAGTGCTCATTAGGAATTATGCTAAATAAAATGAGAGGAGAGAGAGACAGAGATGATGGTTTTGGTTTTAAATTTATAAAAAAGAAAGGACAACTATTTTGAATGAGGATGTCGAGTGTTACAACTTATACTGCTACTTCGTGTCTAGTTGTTACTTTTGGTTTTATTCCAGACCTGAGGTGTATGAAGATTTAGATATTTGGAGAGTGATTATTTTCCCAAGATACTAGGTACTATTATTCTTCCACTTCATAAAGTAAGAAAAATAAGAGAGACAAAGCAAGAAACAGACTCTTAACTAAAGAGAACAAACTGATGGTTACCAGAGGGGAGGGGGGTGGGGGGATGGGGGAAAGACCTGATGGGGACTAAGGAGTGCACTTGTGGCGATGAGCACCAGCTGGTGCATGGAAGTGTTGAATCACTATATTGTACACCTGAAACTAATATTACACTGTATTAACACTATACTGGAATTTAAAATTAAAAAAAATAAATATTTCTTATGTTCTAAACAAATCTATTCATTACAAAAAAAGGTAAGAAAAATAAGTGGACTTGGGACAAAGGTGTAGGAAGTTGTTTGTATCCACAAAGCCAGCAAATTCTAGAGCAGGAAGTAAAACTCAGTTCTGATTCCAGAGCCTGGTTGATCTGTATTGATAAGATTTTTAGTAATGTTGAAATGCAGCTATCGGGTTTGCTTGATCCCTATCATTTTCCTTCTGCCTGAAGGGGCCGAACAGTTCCTCTGCTACAAAACATTGTTAAATTTGAAAGGGAAGGGGGCGCCTGGGTGGCGCAGTCGGTTAAGCGTCCGACTTCAGCCAGGTCACGATCTCGCGGTCCGTGAGTTCGAGCCCCGCATCAGGCTCTGGGCTGATGGCTCAGAGCCTGGAGCCTGTTTCCGATTCTGTGTCTCCCTCTCTCTCTCTGCTCCTCCCCCGTTCATGCTCTGTCTCTCTCTGTCCCAAAAATAAATAAACGTTGAAAAAAAAAATTTGAAAGGGAAGAGAACACTGGGATTCTGGTCATCCTTGAACATCAGAAAGGTCTCGCACAAAGAACACACTTAGAAATGTGAAATTAAGTCAGTTTGGATGGAGGACATGCAAAGATTAACAAGGCGAGAAAAGTCCAAGGCAGGATCAAAGAAACTGAGAAGTACAAGTCCCAGGATGGACTCAGTCTTCTGTTAGATGTTAGTTAGTTGAAGCCAGCCTCTTACTCCTCTGGAGTGAAAAGAGAGGAGTGAGGCTTTTTCTACTTTATGTAAATTATGATGTACCTTGCAGTCTACTGAAGTTCCTTTGTAAAGACAATAAAAGAGAAAAAGAGGAGACATCTAGTCATAGCATTTATTACATTAACTACATATAAATCCTTCTTTATAATCCACCTTAGAAGTTGAACTAGACTGAAGTCATAAATCTTATAAGTTTCATTTTGGTTAAAACTTCATGTCTAGGGGCGCCTGGGTGGCTCAGTCGGTTAAGTGGCCGACTTCGGCTCAGGTCATGATCTCGGGTCTGTGAGTTCGAGCCCCGCGCTGGGCTCTGTGCTGACAGCTCAGAGCCTGAAGCCTGTTTCAGATTCTGTGTCTCCCTCTGTCTGACCCTCCCCTGTTCATGCTCTGTCTCTCCCTGTCTCAAAAATAACTAAAACATTAAAAAAAAAAACAAAAAAAAAAAGACAAAAATACTTCATGTCTAGTTGTTGTAACATGAAATTAGCTTACAGAGTATAAGCACTGCATTAGTAATACACACAACATATGAGATTAGACCTTAAAGAATCTTAATGAGGGTTATTTAGCCAGAACTAAACACGATTAAAATCCAGCTTTCTGTAAGAGATATTTTGCAATTTACTCAATGTTCTCTGGGATAGTAACATGTATCAATGATCAGGACATGAAAGTTTGGATAGAAAACATTTAAAGGAATCTTCATAACTGAAGTCACTATTAATATTTCATACCTATAATTAATAAAGTAAAATTTCATACCTATAGCCTAAGAAATTATAACCTCAATTTAAAAAATGGTAACCTTCCATACAAAATTAACATCCAGTGTTCTAGGGCTTAGAAGGACAGGTTTATATTCGTGCTAAAACTGTATAACATATTATGTAAAATAACCCTGAAATAAGAGATCTTCACTGAATTGGCTAAGATAATTATAAGTATTTCCACAATCTGTTCAAGAAATAAATTGTAATATGTTGCTGAGATATAACCATTCAATTCACGTCAGAGCCTGTTCTGACACTTCTCATGACAAGCATGATCATGTATGAATGAAAAGTAATAGAGGTTGAAAGGAAAAAGAAATTATGCAAAAAACCCAAAAAACAAAAAATGAAAAAAACCAGCCGGTCCCTCCAATCCAGATTCCAGGTTGTGGAAATATACATTTGAGCTTCATAAGCATTCCATTTTCAGAGAACATTACTAAAAATGCTTTTGTAAGTACTTTTTCTTCTATTTACATGTTTAGATAACCTTCAGTGAAACTTTTAGAGATCTTCATATCTAAGATGAGAGACTGAACTCACCAAGGTGAGTCACTGGCAGAGTCATGGCAAACCCCCCCCACTCTTCCCCTTTCTTCTGAATGCCACACTAGACATTGGAGTCTTCCTATCCTGGAGACCCTAGAATATCACTGAGGTTAAACATTATCATATGAACTTTCCATTATCACCCAACGATGACACACAAACACGTGTGTGCACACACATGCATACACCACACAGAAGCTGAATGTGTGTCGTACTTCATACTTTTTGTTCTTGAATATATGGTTAACTCACCAACTGCAAACCGTTATTTTGAAGGAATTGATTACTATCCTAAAATAACAAAGGTCAATAGAGAGGAATCAATTTAATATTAGTCTTCAAAAGAGGCAAAGCCTCCTTCAGCTGAGGGAAGATGGCAAGCATCTGATCTCACAGCCAAAAATATCATGGAGGGAGGCAAACACCAGAAACTATCAAGAATACCAAGAATTCTAAACTCATTGATTTCTGCTGCTGCCTCTTTGGTTCCCTGTACACTTAAATTCTTTCCTGGGTATTTAAATGATAGTGGTGATATCTTTCAAGCTAGAGCTCAATATGTGTGACAGCCTTTCAGTTTTATGGATAAAGAACCTGCTTTGTGAGAGTGACTGGAAGTGGTGCTTTTATGTAAGGGAGAAGTTCATTTTACCTGGATGCATAAGGCGTCTGTCCTTGGCAACCATTCCAATGACTGATTTACAACACGCTATAATTATTCAACTGTTTTTCAGATTAGATAGAACCAGGACAGCTTAAAAAAAAACAATAGTGCCGATTCTCCCACCAACAAGTTATTAATAGGAAAAAGTTTTGGCAGATGAAATAAGAGGAGGTGAAAGAAATCTTTGGCAAAGTGTCTAGTCTCTTCACATTAAAATTAAATCATTACTCTGAACCTTCTTCCTGACTTCTTTTAAGTTCAAGTTTTAATGAGCTCCTGATTATTTATAACTTGGAGATAATTAAAGACCTTCAGGGAAGTGCCACACCAGGCAAAAATCCACAAAAAACAAAAAACCATTGCCCCACCTTTCACACTACCTCCTATCAGAAGAGTTGGAGCAGCCTGGTTAGCTTCTGCTTTGCTTATTTCTTACCTTGGCTCCTTCTAAAGGCAAATCATGGCGTCTGTGTTTCCGCATAAGCACGGGGTCAGAGCCCACTCTACTGTGTCTTCCATTCACATTTGAACTTGCTGTGATTCCAGGCTTTGGAGAGCCATCCCCTAAGAGTCGACATCCCACCACCGACTGATTACTCCCAAACACATCCCGAGGGCACCAGGCTTCAAGAGGCATTGGCTGGTCTCTAGAAGGCACACTTTCCACGTGATGGAAGTGACGACTCAGTCTATTGTCAGGTGGGATTGGGGGAGGTCTCTCAGGTGGAGGCGGAGGAGGATCTCGTAAGGGAGGAGGAGGTGCGGGGAGTGGTTTATCTTGCTTTCTCACCATGCAAGGAGAAGACTGAAGAGATACAATAGAAGAATAAATAAGTTAGAAGTTGTACTATTGATGCACTGAAACATGATTTCTGGACTCGTCTACCATTGCCTTTGTTTTCTAAGCCATAATGGAGTTTTATTAGATTTCTGTGTCATCTTTTAATGTTTCTTTTTATCATCAATTAATGACATTTTTAAAAATTAATGAAAATCTTATGTAAATATATCTCATTTGAACTCTTTTTTTGTAGAAGATGAATACATAAACTCAAATGTTAAGGACTATAAACACTACACAGGAAAAAGTAGCAGGGCATCGAAATTATATGATGATTTTGACTGGTTGACAGTAAAATAATATTTAGTCGTTTATTTATTTACACTTTTACACAATTTAGGAGACATAAAAAAACTATCAAAGTTGTTGTTGTTTTACTTTTTCAAAGAGCAACTTGATTTGTAATATCTCTGAGGGACTGAAAGTATAGGTTCTGCCATTTTTGTGTTTCCACTGCAACATAAAGCAACTAGTAAGGGGAAAACTTGCTCTGATCTTGTCTTTTATAGTTATTACCAGAATAGTGGAAAATCACAAGTAATACAGCAGCATTATTTATAAAACTTACTTGAATTTTTATGGATCCTTAAAATGGAAAAATATTGGTCTAATTCTTATATGGAAATATGAACATATATACACTTGAATTGAATCTATGTGCTTTTTATGATTTTATTTTTATTTACATGGTTCATCTGATGAATGATTTTGTGTTTTTATGGTTAGAAAATCATACAGAAAAAGGGAATGTGTTTACATAATTCTATGTTCACACCATTCTGACTAAACACCATCCAAAAAAGTCTTAATCTGATCTTAAAACCCAAAAATCTTAACGTGATCTTAACTGTAACTGAGATCAAATACTACTAAAATGTCGTGCTTCTGACTCATTTTAGACTCTAAAGCATATACCAAGTGGAATTAAGTTTTTAAATCTTATATTTGATAAAGCAAAATATGCTGTAATCAAATTTGGAAAAAAAATTCCACAAAACTAAAATAAACTGCGGGCTTAGATTTACACAGTTAGAATTATATCTTTAATATTAAGGAGTAATGTAATTACTTTGCAAAAACTGTAATTCTTTGTAATTAATTCCTTCAGGTGAAGGTGAGTCACCCTGAAACACACATCTTAAAGCCCTTATGCAAATATACCCCCATCACATTTTTCTTGTCAGGACACTGTGAAAATGAGTGTCAAATATCATTCAATAAAAGCATGCAATTTATTTTAATACATATAATGATTTTCAAAATCCATTTTACAGAATAACTAGATTTACTCTCCTCTGCATTTTTACAAATCAGGGAACTATTACAGACATATGCTCTGAGTAATTGTGCAACTTTTATAGTAATAAAGCAAAAAGAGGATAGTGGGCTCACCACAAACAAAATGAGGAACATGTCAGAGTTCTTCATCAACAATTGAGAGCCCAAGAAATACAAGTAATGGAATTCAAAGGAAACTAAGCAATCAATAATTGTCACCTACATTCTGTGTGTTTCTAATAAAATCAGTTTACCTTTGGTGAACCAGTGGGGCTGCCACAGGGAGACCGAACTATGCCTTTCTGAATTAAGTCCAGGCGAGGAGGCACTGGTGGCAGGCTTAGATGTGGGATCTGGAGAGGATCTGGATGCGGCTTTCTTCTCTGTGCAAGGGGAGAGGATCCTGGTGATGTAACTGGTGAATTCTGCCTGTCAGTGCACTAGAATAGAGAAGGACAAAGATCATGTGATATGATGTGTAAAGTGTATGCCTTTCAGTTCTTAACGAAGACCTTTGGTTTCGAGAAGGTGTCTGCCATTGAACATCTGTTAAAATAAACTCTGTTTAGTCTGATTAATAGATGGCAAGTGCTCACATTGTCCCTCAAGGGCAATATTACGTAAAGAATAAATGGATAAGTTTCTCCTGCATATTACAGAAAGGGTCTAGGAAAAAAGAAGAGCAAAAGCATAGTTTAAAACCAATCAAATGCAAACATCTCCGGCAAAAGCCCATCCACAGTTTATGAGGAAACCAGAAATACACAATGCAGTGATGCACATTGCTCTTGGTTTCTGTACTATGGAATTTTCTTAAATCTTCAATTTACAGTATATGCTAGAACTTAGAAGTCATTTTGTTCCATATAAAATATGTATCCAGAGCATACTTGCCTACAAACCAATTAAATCAGGCAGAGTGTCAAAAATAAAAATGTGTATTTAAAATAAAAACAGCCTAATTGTTTTTTCCTGTAGGACTTCACATGGAAAAGAAAGCCTCAAGTTTTTATTTGCTACAACAGGTTTCTACTTTGTCTGGTAGATAAAATGGCATCAAAAAGCCAGTAAGAAATACTTTGATTTGTACTTATGTAACCCTTTTTATTTTGTAATTTTTCTTTTAATGTGACATAACTTGATTGCAATTTGGTATAAAAATCATACTAACTAATCAAATAGCTTTACCAAGGTAAACAATATTATCATGAAATATCAGGCAGTTTCCTTTTCAAGGCTAAGCTACTAGCTCTTTGGAGATCTAGGCTTGATTTTTACACCTACTATACTTTGATAGTCATCTATTTCCTAATGCTATTATTTTTAGAGTTTTAAGCTGTTGTTAACCCATTTTTCCTCTATCAGTCATTTTTATAGGAGCAGTCAATGTCAACAATTGACGATTTAATTCAAACTGTGGCAATAGTGAGACAGATTCAGCCATTCTGTCTTTATCCGACAGGGGATGATAGATTTTTGTTCACAACCACACTTAGGTACATTGTGTAAGGCTTTTGCTAATTAACTAAAATAGGGGTTTGTCTGGTGTTTTTCTCATGATTACACTCAGGTTATGGGGATTTTGAAGGAAGACCACGAAGGTCAACAAATATTTTAATAGCATCATATCAAGGGTCCACGCTACCAATATGATTCATCACTGTTGATGCTGACCTTGATTACCTGGCTAAGGTACTGTCTGTCAAGGTTTCTTCACTGTAAAGTTACTCCCTTTTTCTCCCCCTGTCCATACTGTACTCTCTGCAAGGAAGTCACTGTGCACAGACCACACTTAAAGGAGTGGGAAGTTACAGTCCCCATTGTAAAGACTTTTTAGATAAATTTGAGTGGCTACAAAAGCTTCTAGACCATACCTCAGATATGCCTGAATATTGTCATGACATTGCTAAACTGCTAATTCTTTGCTTCTTTCTCTCAAGGGTGCCAAGTAACTAAAATAGGTCAATAAATTTACCCATAATTTTACATGACAATTTTAAGAACCTTTCTTTCTTTTTAGTAATTTCATGATTCTTTTTTATATGTCTTACCCTATGATGAAGCAAAAAAGGAAAAAATCTTAACTGCCACTAAAATTAGAAGAGAAAAAGTAGAAACTCTGTAGTCACAATAAACTGATTCTAATGCAGCCATTGATTCTTAACAAAATAAAAATTCTATGCAAAAAGCTATGGGAAGTCTCAGATGGTCAGGAATTTGAACTTTCTGGATTAAAAACAATCCAGAAATGATCATACACAGAACAGAAAGAATTCCTGATGTAAACTATGCACATCACAACATCATAGTATTTTGAGTTAGGAAATGTCACAGGACCTCTAATTCTCCACAATTCCCATTAGGATAAATTACATTCTCTGAGAATTAGCAAAACCATTACCTGATAAAAATGCTTTGTTGCTCTGGTTATTATCCTTTACAAAAAAGACTCAAGAAGCAAAACTATCAACAGTTCCTATCCCAAACTACATACACAGACACATGCACATACACATACACACACAAACACACACAGGGAGAAAGAATATTAACGCATAGCACTTTATCCATTTAGTTGTTTGCAGGGAAATTTTTCAGTGCTAGGTGCACACATAGCAGACTGCCTATGAATAAAACCTCTGCTCCTCTGAGCACTTTTCTCTCACAACTATCTTCCTGCTTCCCTCAATACCTGAAAAAGAGAATTCTGATACAGCCAACAACCCACCATCACTATTGGACCTTGACTTCTGCTTTAATTACTAAATTTAAGCAGTTACCAAATTCCTAATATGTTTAAATAAAGGGATGGATTTGATGTGTGGTGAGTGAACTGTTAGATATAGAAAGGGTATACTAAAAATCCTCAGGACAGACATTCATACCAAGTGCAGCAATAACCTTGAACCTTAGATATCTCCAGATAAGCACATTCTCAACAGCTTTGTGAATGTAAGTGGAAGCAGACCTTGCCTAAGCACAAGTCATACTGTACCCTCAAGGTGATGATATACTGTCTTCCTGAAAAACTAATCCATTCTGAAGCATTACAGTATCTGTAACTTGGCTTAGTTAGAAGAATTTTATGGAAGATGTATTTGTATATGAAGAAACAAAAAATATTGCATCTTTGTGATTATGTGGACTAAATTCACCATAACTCATTTATTTTCCTGAGTTCCCCTGAATTATATTAAAATCCCCTTGTAAGAGAAGATAATTAATAATGCCCTTTATTTTTTTTTTTAATTTTTTTTTTTTAACGTTTATTTATTTTTGAGACAGAGAGAGACAGAGCATGAATGGGGGAGGGTCAGAGAGAGGGAGACACAGAATCTGAAACAGGCTCCAGGCTCTGAGCTGTCAGCACAGAGCCTGACATGGGGCTCGAACTCACAGACCGCGAGATCATGGCCTGAGCCGAAGTCGGCCGCTTAACCGACTGAGCCACCCAGGTGCCCCTAATAATGCCCTTTAGATAATCATGCATTACTCTTTGCTGAACCTTTTGCTATCTCTATGAATAAATCTGTAATTAAGAGATTTGCATTAAAACTAAAACTTTGCATTAACTTTTGTTGCTGGTAAAATTTCACACTAATGATGAACATTTGTAAACATTCTTAGTAGACATTTTTAGTAGATGGTTACATAAATGGCCCCTTTTAATTTATTTGAATAACCGTCATTTTTCTTTTCTTCCTATTTGGTAGTCTGAGGAGAAAAGATACCTAACACAATGTTTCACACCTCAGCCCATAATTAAATTCTTAGATGAGACATTAAAAATTCATGACATCAAAAGTGATTAATGCAATGTAAAGAATAGAAAGTGGGTCCTTTTTGCCTGTCTGACAATAAAGAGAAGCACAGATTAGATTGATTTAATGTGGACCCAAAATTATTTCTCCTTTAACTACACCTCTATTTCTATATAATATTTGAATATTTAATGGTCTTTTAAAGGACTTTGATTCTACAGTATCAGAATTTCCCCTGTATAGGTAGGAACAACAAATGCCTCTAGAGCTGAGCTGTGACAAAGGCATATGGCCAGTCATATTTAGTCTACAGATCAATATTATTTTCCAAATAGATTCTACAATCGGACATTCCCCTCAGCTCTTCCTCCTATCTTCTTCTACAGATCTAATCCCCATCCCAAGATCACTCAGGCCATATATCTTTCTCTTCTGATGTGTGATAAAGGGAGTTATTGGGGAAAACAACAACATACAACAAACCTGGAGCTTATTCTCTGGCTTAGGATTTAAATTCTAAATCTATGAACTATGCAAACTTAACCACCTCTTACTGATTTGCTCAGCATTCCTCATAATCACTACAATCTCCATTCTGTATAGAAATGCAGACTTAATACATGTACATAAAACCTCAAGTAGAAGAGTAGGAAAACATTTATTTAATCCTGAATAATAACAGTTAAGTATTTTGTTGCTAGGGAATTGGAATATGTGAATTTCAGATGTGGCTACCACTCAAACTAAAATTCTAAAGTCAACGGATTATTAAAAGAAATAACCATATAATTAAACATATAATCCGATTTCCTACACATATATTTTCCATATATGTGAATTTCAGCTAGAACTTTAAAATGTCATATAGTCTTGCACAAATCACCCACTTGTTAATATTGTTACCTGTAGATTAAAAAATAAGGTTAAATCTATTTTGTGGAGACTTTATGGGATAATAAAATTAAATGAAATATGAAATAAAAGCTGCTACAAAACATTGAATTTTTATTTGGATGATACAGTTAGGAGTATTGACTCTTTTATACAGAGGTGATAGAATGCAATCTATTACATCTTCAAAAGTCCAAAGTTTGCTCATCTTCACTACCAAGAGATAATTCTACTAGAGATATTTTTAAACCAAAGTTTCCCCATCTTTATTTCTTATTTTGTCCTAGACAGTGCTAGATAGCTCTCACTACCAGGTCTAAACAAATTCAAGTATCTAAACAAATAATTAGACTAAAGTCTTACAATACATTCAGACATCAAAACTGTCATTTGGATTATTTATAGTTATAAATTCTGACCATTAGCACAAAATTCTAGAATGTAATAAATTTTTATTTTTTGCCTCTTGATTTAGAGAACATGGTAACTATAGAAATAAATAATAAGAGAAAAAGTAGTAAATTCTAGAATTTAACAAATTTTTTTCATCTTGATCTGGAGAACATGTCAAATACAGAAATAAATAATAAGAGAAAAAGTAGTACAAAGTAGGTTTAAAAGTTTAGGGTCACACATGTTGTCCGACTGTTCACCATAATAAATAAGTTTTACTGATTTTGGTGCTCATCTCCTTATATCTTTACAATTGTGTTTTCACCATTCCACTTTTTTTCTCATTATAAAGAACACAATTTCACCGCATAAAATTTGGAATTATAGGAAAATAT